CTGTACATGTGGGTGCTATGAGGTGGGGGGCAGGGACTCTGTATATGTGGGTGCTAGGGGGTGGGGGGCAGGGACTCTGTATATGTGGGTGCTATAGGCTGTTTATATGTGTTAATGACTGAGTATCCCAGAGAGTAGATCATGTGACATGAACTGATAACGCTGCAATAATGCAGCTTGGTCTTCATAGAGTGTTCTTGGCAGGCAGAACTTCTCTGGGGTCCAGCAAGAACATGAAGATCAATCCCGAGAATAGAGAGAGAGTCCGAAGAATTTCTGGGCCTTCTTGGCCCTCCCTCCTTACCCCGTCACCTGGTGTGTCTCACGATTAGGCCTTTTGATGACAACTCTATCTTTAAGGATGTATCTGCCATACTTCCAGGTGTCCATGCAGGTACCAAACTTGTTAACGAACAAAGGATCAATTCTCTTGTTGCGGTAGGGCCTGGGGGTGCCCAGGTATTCCCACACAGCCTCTCTATACCATTCCTCTCTGGTACGCTCAATTTCTTCCATAACATCTTTTGGGACATATGGAAACTCCAATCCATACTCGGTGGCAACTTTACGTTGGACAATACGCTGCAGCCTTGACAACTTGCTCATCTTACATATATCACCTTCTCCAGGCAGAACACATGAATCAGGTGACTTCCTCACATACATAGCATTGGACATGGTTTGAGCAACAGTCTGAGCTTTTGTACGTGGCGGGGATTCATCCAGAACAGGACGGTCAGGTAGTTGGGTCTTACAATCCTGTCTTCCTCTCTCACTCACAGCCACTGTTGGGATTGACCTTCTGCCAGGGATCTCTGTGGGGTCAGGTTCTTCCAGAGCAGAGACTTGAGCCAGGTTGCACTCCTCATCAGATGCATTACTCCAATGAGGCCTGGGACGGGACATAACGCTGCCCTCCCCCCGCTCAGACTCGCTCTCACTACACACAGGTAGTTCAGGGGTTCCCCCTTTCACAATCATCCCAGCACTGACAACCCTTCAGAAGAGCTGGTCAGGCCTCCGGGAGCGTTGATATCTTCTTCTGTCGCACCAAGCACTCGTCCGCGGGCTCGTGCACGGGAATAGTGTAGTTGTCTAGTCGTGAAATAACGTGACCTCGCAGCCGATGCAGAGGTATTCGCTTCTTTCAAAACGGGATTGGTGTCTCCGTTCACAGTTGAGGAAACGCCAACAGGTTCTCTCTGGGTGGACCCGGTGGCCCAATCCACATGAAGGACGCCGGACGGCAGGTTCTCTTTCCCAGCGGTGAGTAGTCCGCAGCCTTCACATCTTGTCCAGGCACGAATGTACATAAAAATCCTCCCACAACTGCCACAGAAAATGCCGGTCAGTTCTTGGCTTCCCATGGCGCATAGGGCGATGCGACCGTTCAGTTCCAAACGTAGGCCGGTATCCACAACGGCGTCCGGGCCATAAGAAGAGCTCAGCCGAGCTCCTCCAATGCTACCCTCAGCATTAGGTGCGGTATACGGCCGGCATTTTAATGCCGATTTTGTTTTGCAGGATTCGTGGGCAGGACTCAGAGTAAGCAGACTCCTCCCTTTTCACAGCGGTTTGAGCGCCAAAGAACAGGGTGGGAACCAGCAGTCAAGCGCTGGCTCCTCCCCTCACCAACCCACAGGTCGGTCAGTTCTGGAAACTTCTGGCGCCATCTCCGCCCACACAGAGACACGCGCCTTTTCTCTGGGTACCTTTAACCCTCTCCCTCCTGGCAGGAACTTGTGACCAGTTGAAAAGGACAATTTTTCTCAATAAACGCACATTTTCCTTTCCTTCATAGCACAAACGATCACATGACAAAGTTCCTGAGTTGCTAGGGGTGATTAGAGCACAAAAATAGCACACTTGAGCAAAAATTCCCCGATCCCAATGTCGGTTGCTATGGGTTACTGCAGCAAAAAATATCACAAAACAGCCAGGAAGATCCCGGACGAGCCCCCACGTGTAGCGCTCACCCCCGAAGGAGCCGCTGAATGATCGGGTCTTCCATAGCCTGTCTAGGGATTATTAAAACACATGGCTGCTCCAATAGCACTTACCACTTCCAGTGGTTACCAACAGATTGAAGTCCAGACAATAGCTCCAAGATGATTCTCTTTTATTTCTGAACTCCTCCGGGAGCGTTGATATCTTCTTCTGTCGCACCAAGCACTCGTCCGCGGGCTCGTGCACGGGAATAGTGTAGTTGTCTAGTCGTGAAATAACGTGACCTCGCAGCCGATGCAGAGGTATTCGCTTCTTTCAAAACGGGATTGGTGTCTCCGTTCACAGTTGAGGAAACGCCAACAGGTTCTCTCTGGGTGGACCCGGTGGCCCAATCCACATGAAGGACGCCGGACGGCAGGTTCTCTTTCCCAGCGGTGAGTAGTCCGCAGCCTTCACATCTTGTCCAGGCACGAATGTACATAAAAATCCTCCCACAACTGCCACAGAAAATGCCGGTCAGTTCTTGGCTTCCCATGGCGCATAGGGCGATGCGACCGTTCAGTTCCAAACGTAGGCCGGTATCCACAACGGCGTCCGGGCCATAAGAAGAGCTCAGCCGAGCTCCTCCAATGCTACCCTCAGTATTAGGTGCGGTATACGGCCGGTACATGAAAGCCATATTTCTTGCGATGCTACTTCACTCCCTCTCGCTGCTCACCAACATGTGCAGGATTCGTGGGCGTTACTCAGAGTAAGCAGACTCCTCCCTTTTCACAGCGGTTTGCGCGCCAAAGAACAGGGTGGGAACCAACAGGCAGGCGCTGGCTCCTCCCTTCACCAACCCACAGGTCGATCAGTTCTGGAAACTTCTGGCTCCATCTCCGCCCACACATAGCCACGCGCCTTTTCTCTGGGTACCTTTAACCCTCTCCCTCCTGGCAGGAACTTGTGACCAGTTGAAAAGGACAATTTTTCTCAATAAACGCACATTTTCCTTTCCTTCATAGCACAAACGATCACATGACAAAGTTCCTGAGTTGCTAGGGGTGATTAGAGCACAAAAATAGCACACTTGAGCAAAAATTCCCCGATCCCAATGTCGGTTGCTATGGGTTACTGCAGCAAAAAATATCACAAAACGGCCAGGAAGATCCCGGACGAGCCCCCACGTGTAGCGCTCACCCCCAAAGGAGCCGCTGAATGATCATGTCTTCCAAAGCCTGTCTAGGGATTATTAAAACACATGGCTGCCCCAATAGCACTTACCACTCCCAGTGGTTACCGACAGATTGAAGTCCAGACAATAGCTCCAAGATGATTCTCTTTTATTTCTGAACTCCAGGGAGAGAGGGAAGAGGGTCAGGCACATCCAGCATGAAGGTAGACTCCTTGTACTTGAAACAGAGCAAAGTAACTGCTGCCACCACAGACTTGGACCTTTAAGCCGTACCGGCAATCTGTGTGGAGAACTTCTGGCAAGCAGTACTGTCAAGGGTCTTGCTCAGGTTCAACTTCAGACATGAGTGGCTGACCACTGGGCCTTCAGGCTCAGGCCCCAGTATCCAGGCCTAGGACCCAGACTCAGGCCTAGTCCATTCTGTCTCTTCAGCAGCAGGCATCCTGCCCCCAGGCCAGAATGGAAATGAATGAATGGCCATAGGAAAATGATTAACGGAAAACAAACTATACGATTCTTATCTAACATTAAAGTAATAACATATTCTATGCCCCATTGGGGGCGGCACACAGTGTATATTGTTAGTATGTTGAGCCAGGTCCTAATTACCAATGTGACTTTAAATGTTGTATCAACATTCAATCTCCTCCAGCGAGTGCAATATGTGAATATACGGGAATAAATATATAAATAATTTGAGTGGAATATCTGAATATAAATATATATAAGTTACTAATTAAAAAAAACTTCCTACAAAGAATGGACTGCGTCTTTGGTCATAAATATGGTGCAAATAGGCATATATACATCTCTTAGTTGACCCCCAGTGATCGTTAATCCAACCTTATAGACATCGGTGACGGGAAAATATTAAAGTGCAATTACTCAAATGGGCTAGAAAAGTGTCACTCTTGGGTATGGGCATTTGAGTAATTGCACTTTAATATTTTCCCGTCACCGATGTCTATAAGGTTGGATTAACGATCACTGGGGGTCAACTAAGAGATGTATATATGCCTATTTGCACCATATTTATGACCAAAGACGCAGTCCATTCTTTGTAGGAAGTTTTTTTTAATTAGTAACTTATATATATATTTGTATTCAGATATTCCACTCAATTATTTATATATTTATTCCCGTATATTCACATATTGCACTCGTTGGAGGAGATTGAATGTTGATACAATATTTAAAGTGAGATCGGTAATTAGGACCTAGTGCAACACATTAACAATATAACATACCCGGGTTATCACCATACATTGTTGCGGCCGGTATTTTATCACCAAGTGTTTATTACTCCTAGCGCAACAGCTTGTCTTATTTCATGTGAGTTCTCTGGTGGTTAACAAGGTCTCCTTCATGAATGAATGATTTCTCGCACTCTGAACATGAGTAAGGACGCTCAGCCGTGTGAATCCTCTGATGCCTAACAAGGTGACTTTTCCGAGTGAACGATTTCCCGCACTCTGAACATGAATAGAGACGCTCACCCGTGTGAATTATCTGGTGCCTAACAAGGTTTGCTTTCTGAGTGAAAGATTTGCAGCACTCTGAACATGAATAAGGATGCACACCTGTGTGAATTCTCTGGTGTATAACAAGGGCTTTTTTATCTGTGAAAGATTTCCCGCACTCTGAACATGAATAAGGACGCTCACCAGTATGAATTCTCTGGTGTATAACAAGGTCTTTTTTACCTGTGAAAGAATTCATGCACTCTGAACATGAATAAGGATGCTCACCCGTGTGAATTCTCTGATGCCTAACAAGCTGTCCTTTCCAAGTGAAAGATTTCCCGCACTCTGAACATGAATTAGGACGCTCACCAGTGTGAATTCTCTGATGCCTAACAAGCTGTCCTTTCCAAATGAAAGATTTCCCGCACTCTGAACATGAAAAATGATGCTCACCTGTGTGAATTCTCTGGTGCATAACAAGGGCTCCTTCATGAATGAATGATTTCTCGCACTCTGAACATGAGTAAGGACGCTCACCCGTGTGAATTCTCTGGTGTATAACAAGGTCTTTTTTCTCTGTGAAAGATTTCCTGCACTCTGAACATGAATGAGGACGCTCAGCCGTGTGAATCCTCTGATGCCTAACAAGAATGAGGACGCTCAGCCGTGTGAATCCTCTGATGCCTAACAAGGTGTCCTTTCCGAGTGAACGATTTCCCGCACTCTGAACATGAATGAGGACGCTCAGCCGTGTGAATCCTCTGGTGCCTAACAAGCTGTCCTTTCTGAGTGAAAGATTTCCCGCACTCTGAACATGAATAAGGACGCTCACCCGTGTGAATTCTCTGGTGCCTAAAAAGGTCTCCTTTCTTAGTGAAAGATTTCCCGCACTCTGAACATAAATAAGGACATTCACCTGTGTGAATTCTCTGGTGTACAACAAGGTGTACTCTACGACTGAAAGATTTTCCACACTCTGAACATGAGAATGGATCCTCACCTCTGTGATCTCCTTCATGGGGTGAGGAGGATTCTTTGGGATTAGATGGATCTCTTGCAGTGTGAGATCTTAGATGGATATTTCCAGTCATAGTATGTGAATGGTGAGAAGATTCACCCTGATCAGAGGGATCCATTGATGTCTCCGAGCACTGAGGTCTGTGATGTATATTTTGTGTGTTTGGATTCACTCCTGGAGAATCCTGTGTGATGACATTATCTTCTGACTTACAACCAGCAGATAATATAAGATGTCTCTCCGAGGTATTCCTGACATCACATCCATCTGCTGGAGAGAAATCATTACACACGTCAGTAATCAGAGTCATGTATGTTTATCTGACAGTCAACAGTTTCGTAGAGACCTGTCATGATATTTGGTAGAACTGTAGCACAAAATATAAAATGAGTTAAAGGATAAAAACACCCAAAACAACTCTGACACATCGGGTAAAATTGTTTTGTGCATTAAAAGGTAATCTTTTTAGCCCATGGTCTTCCTCTGGGTCACGGGAGGACATATACTGTGTGACCCAAAACTTAGCAATAGCCCGCTATATGTTGTATGCGCCGCAGCCGGGACGGATCCCAATAATATTGTTGAGATCCGCCCCACTGGCTGATGGACAGCTGACTCTTTCTCTCTAAAGGGAGAGCCAGCTGTGCCCGCCCACTCCCCCGTCTGTTCCTCCAATCAGTGCTGGAGGATTGGAGAGGGGAGGGGAGCAACCAAGCGGGGAGTGGTGACTGACAGTCACCGCTCTCTGCAGGGAGGCGATCGGAAAGTGAGCGGATCGGCGGTATGTTTCTGCACACTTCTTGAACAATAGACCCTGACAGTTTCAATGGTAATATAATATGTTGAGTAATGGAGATGGACCTTCATATGGTGTACAGCAGACTGAATGGAGATGGACCTTCATATGGTGTACAGTATCTCCTCCTCATTTGTTGGTCACAAGACGTTATATTGGGGAATGGAGATGGACCTTCATATGGTGTACAGTATCTCCTCATTTGTTGGGAACATGACATTATAGTGAGGAATGGAGATGTACCATCATATGGTGTACAGTATCTCCTCCTCATTTGTTGGTCACATGACGTTATATTGAGGAATGGATATGGAACTTCATATGGTGTACAGTATCTCCTCCTCATTTGTTGGGGACATGACGTTAGTCTCATCCGTACACAAGTCTTTATATATGTGAGCTGACTGATGCTCATGGCTCTCTCTGCTGCTGGGGGAAAAGGCTGAGAGCTCACAGAACACTATAGATACATGAGCTGCCTGTTTGTTTTGGAGAACCCATTAGGGGGTCACCCTGTTAGTCAGGAACTGACCTGAGTTTAGTTAGCGGCTCTGATGAGCAGATGTTCAGTTTGTTTTATACTATAAACTTTCTGTACAAAGTCCTCCTACAGTGAACTCTGTGTGTCTGCTGCTTTGCTGAATAGGGTTGCCACCTGTCCAGGATTCACGCGGACAGTCCGGGTTTTGAATGCTGTGTCCGGGTTTCATGGCAGCAGAAACCTGGACACCAGATGTCAGGCAGACAGGGGGAACCAAAATTAGGTTAGAAGCCACTGGCCACCCACTGAAAATATTCTCAACGGTGATATTTACATATGAATAAGCTGCTACTCATTCTCCCCCAAAAAATGTCCGTGCATCGCCAGAGTGCTCGGGTTTCGCGTGAAGAAAAGGTGGCAACCCTATTGCTGAATGAAAGTGGCGGACAAACCTGTTTATGTTCACAGAGCGTAAACAGTGGGGTAAAGATCCTTATCCTTCTGCAAAGCTTTGTAAAACGAGACTATAGTGTCCAGAGACGCAAGAAAATAATATACAGTATGTATATGTATATATATTGTAGAAGACAGCAAGGCTGGGTGGTGGAAGGCAGGTCTTTTTTGCCACTATTTGGGCTGTGGTCCCCTTAAGGGGCCCCAGAGGGTTAACCTTCCTGACACAGGAAGCAGCTGAAAAGGTCAGAGAGGAGTGTGGGAGTTGAGGAGAAAGTGATCAGCTAGTGACTAGTGAGAGAGACCTCTGCTGGATTGCTGTGCTGCAGTGTTACGGGGCTTATTTTCCTGGGGAAGGGATTTCCCCAGGTTTGGAACTTTTTCAACAAGTCGGTGAGACACGTTTATGTTTTGTTATCTGGTTCTGAAGATTTGGACTATTACTTTCAGTTTGCTGAAGATAAAGTGTGTATTTGTGTTTTACTGTTTTCGGCTGCCCTGCAAGAGGCAAATAAAAGGCTTTTGTTTTATGCAAAACTCTCTGTGCGAGTGCCCTCTGAGCTCCCCAACATCACATTAAAAATAAATAAATATACTGTATATATAGTGATAGTTTGGGGAATATAGCCCAATGGTGCACACTAAGTGACTACTCCTGAAGCTGACTTTAAAGGAGAACTATGAGGGGAGTGCTTTTCACTCACCTCATAGTTCTAGCCGACCTGTGACAATGAGACTGTCACAGGTCGGCTCAGTAGATCGGGAGGTGAGCGAACACATACAGGCGTTCGCTCACCTCCCGATCCTGTCACGGCTCTCTGCCTTGACTTGACTAGTGCATCGCTTCTGATATAAATAAGTGGGCCGCCCGCAGTGACGGATGTACTATTGGGTCCGGTGGAAGCTCCCCCTCCCCTTTCTCCTCCCCATTAAGTGCCTTCCCGTATATGTTCTCCTCCTTGGCCTGGCACCCCCCGTCCATATTGTTTTGTCCCTTGGGTCCTGTGTTTTCTATATGTTACCCTCCCTTTCGTCCCTCTTCAGTGTTGTCTGGCCAGATGGGAGATCGCAGCTACCTTTATATCTCCTGATTGAGAAGCACTCAGTTGCTATAGAAACAAGACAGGGAACTGAGAGAGGCACAGGTGGCTGTAGCTGGTGCAGGAGAGACGATGCAGGTAGCTGAAAGCAGGGTACCCTCTGAAGGAGACTGTCATCAGCGGGCCTAATGGTAGCAGAGCAAGACAGAAGCGGAGTCAGATGGACCAGGTTGGCAACCAGCAGGCAATGAGGTGCAAAACCAGCAAGAGGGGAGTCGCAGGCGAGCCGGGTCACAACCTTGAGGGCAAGCAAAGCCAAATCAGGGTGCAGAAGAGTAGTCAAGGCAAGGGGCGTATCTGCTGCAAGGCAAACAAGGCGTTTGCCTCGGGCGGCAGATTCCAGGGGGGTGGCAAAACCTGCCGCCCCCCAAAACATTTAGGCAGATGGGCTGCACAGAAACCGGCAGCCAGGCTGCAAAATTAGAACGGGGAAGAAGTGGCGGGCGGGGATCAGGAGGAGACGAGGATGTAGCGGCTGCAGGCAGGGGGCGGTAACAGAGGAGATGGGGCGAAGATGAAAGTGGCGGGGTGACGACGGAGGAGGCGGCCGGCCGAAGACTGCAACGGAGGAGGCGGGGCAGAGACGGCGATGGAGGAGGCGTCTCTGCAGGATCTGTGGCGGGCTTTGCAGGATCCGTGCGGGGCTTTGCAGGATCCGTGCGGGGCTTTGCAGGATCCGTAGGGGGCTCTGCAGCCAGCAAAAGCCCACCACATATCCCTCACAGCCCCCCTGACATCCGGCAGACTGCATGGTCTCAGGAGGTCTCTACAGAATCTGTGGGGGGCTTTGCCGGGTCTCAAGGGGGCTTCTCAGGATCTGTGGTTGGCTCTGCAGGATCCGTAGGGGGCTCTGCAGCCTCCAAAGCCTAGGGCAACCCCAAACCAGAATACACCACTGGTCAAGACAGGTGGGGGTCAGAAGGCAGACAGCAGACAAGAAGAGTTGAGAGTTAAGCCGGCTCAGGTCCAAAATAACAGGAACAAGGGAGCACAGGATACAGCAGAAGATCTTCCAGCAGCTGCATCCGTTGTCCTTACATAGGCTGGCGCCAACAGCTGGAACAGGCGTGCCGAGGTCCGGGGACAAAGGACTAGTATTTATCATTATGGCAAAACAAAAGAATGCAATTCAAATGGAAAACTGATGCACAAAATGATAAAGTGCACACTTTAATTCTTTAAATGTATGAAATTTTGACAATGTTTGTTTTAAAATTATTTGCTATATACACACCGGACTCATTGACTTCATATCTGTAATGTCCCTGCCTAGTAAATGTACACATTAGACATGACTGTAATTCATTCTTATATGGTGACTCTATTCCATGGATCATCTATCTTCATCAACAGAGAAACTTCCTCTTCTCACTGGAGATTCTGCCACATTTCCTGTAAGTGATCAGTACATAGAGTAGAGCCCAGATCTGAGCGATCAGCCCTGACCAGCCACTCACAGCACAGATTTATACCACAGATTGTAACTTTCACTTCTGGAGAATCCTATCACCGGGAATTAATGTATGAGGAAAGGATAGGCAGCTCTTATCAGATCCGGTCTCTTCTGGGGTTTTATAATGCAATACTAAAAACTCCCCAGAACCCAACATTGTACCCTCAGTAATACTCACACCCTGGTAGAGACATTCTTATGTCATCAGTGTGTACATTCCCACCACCCAATATTGTTCTCTCAGCAGTATCCGCATCATTAAACACTCTGCACTGAACTATATCCTCAGGGAAAACCCCCCACTCCACACTATATTCTTTGACAGCTCTCCCCCACCATCCACACTACATTCTCTGACAG